TTAAAACCCTAGAGCCCTACAGCCTAAACCCCCTACACCCTTTCCCCTAAACCCCCCCCTCTCCTGTGCCAGGATTCTGGAGGTCCAGGTGGATGAGCCCTCCCTACGTTTGTCAACCGACCAGCCCGGGCGCCCACAACTGGGGCCTCAGGGCTTGATCCTAAAGGGGCTTTTCTTGGGCGTTCAGGGTTTAGGGCTTTAGGGTTTCGGGTTTGGTTGGTGGCCTTAGGGTTTTGGGGTTTAGGGTTTGGGGCTTCGGGCTTAGTATTTGGGGTTTTGGGGACCCAGAATTGCGCGGGCCCATCTTGAGGTATTCCCCGCGCGTGTCAGGACGGTATACAGGTAGCTGAGGGCAGAACGTGTAACAAGTTTGAATCCTCAAACCTCTGAGCCCCAAGGCTTCTGAACCCGAAACACCAAAATGCCAGGCCCTTTCCAACCCCCAATGACAAGGTGCTTGATGCTTGAGGGGGCGACCCAAGACGTTCTCAATTATCTGATGATGTGAACCATAGCCCCCAGCAAGTTCTCGAGACGAGGCTTGGGGCTGTAGGGGGTTAAGGGCCTTAGGAGTTAGGCTGTGAAGGTATAGGGTTGGAGGAGTTAGTGTTTCGGGTTTAGGGCCTTCGGGCTTTGGGAGTTTAGTGTGTGCAGCAGCGTGCGGTAAGAGAATACGGTTTTGGCTTGAAGATTGAGGGTTTCGGGTCGAGCATTTAGGATTGATGGCTTGGGTTTGGGGCACCTTCTAGACAAGGGTCCGGTGGCGCAAGACGGACCACGACAAAGGACTGGAGTCCCCAAGATAGGGAATGCTGGCAGGTTTAGGAATGGGGGGGGGAGTGCTATCACTTCTGGCTCAGGTGACTTACACAGTAGCTTGTAGGAGGAGTTTCAAGTTATCCTCCTTATCAACCCAGTTTCCTCAGCTGCTTGGACCCTACAACCCTTCAAATATGCAAGCAAGCCACCCGAATTGGGGGTTTAAGGCTCAGGTGCAATACAACGCAAGTCCGTGCTTAAGAAGGGGTTTAGGTCCTAAGTTAGATGCTTAAGAAGACGATCCCTCAGTACTTTGAAGCTCTTCGTGAGGTGGCCTCTTCGTGGCATCCGACCCTGAACTGCGTCGACAACATTCAATCGCAGCCTCTTGGCTTGCAACTGTGGCTGCGATTGCAGCTTTGCCTTGGAGTATCATGCTGGGAGCTGTGCGACTCGTTAAGCTAGGCAGGAGGCAAGAGACTCAGGGGCAAGTCCAAATTCTCAGCCCCTGAATTGTAAGCTCGCATCAATCGGAATCAAACTTGATTTGGGTCAGGATCCAAGATCCAAGCTTCCTCAAAAGTCTTGCACCAGGAATCTTGGATCCTGAGTCTTGGAACCTGGCCCGAATCAAATCGGATTCCGATGGATTCGGCTTGTGTAGGTTTTGCAAGACCCCTCAATACCCTTCGAAATCCAGCACTGGGCTGCCGCTCATCAAAAGGTGCCGTGTGTGCACGCACGATGCACCCTCCGGACCATTGCTGCGTCCTACGTGTGTGTATGTGGTGTGTATATATATATAGAAAAAGCGCCCGCCATGTATTGGTTTGCGGCCATGGAAGATGCAGAGATGTCCAAAAAGAGCAATTTGAGTCTGACTGTATTGCAGGTTCGGAAGCCCGAAGTCTTCAAAGAGTGGTTCGCCCGGTTAACTCCTTATCAGCGTAGCCTCCCGGATTCGGCGTCTTGCTGTTGCTTAAGTTTCCTCAAAGCCAAGCTCTTCAACTGAAAATCCCAAAAACTTAACCCTCATTTGCAAAGGTGGCCCTAGGGCCCACAGGGCGCTCCCCGGAAGCCCAGGAAAACTCTCGTTCGAACTTCAGGACTTGGGGGCGCATGTAAGCCTCTGCTCTAAAATTTCAAGTCTACTTGAGAAAGTTGATCTGAAAAACCTACGAAACGAACTTTTTGAGCTGGTTGAACCCATGGGCGTGAGGTTGGCATGGGCTTCAGGAGCAGTTGTTTCCTTTGCGGGGGGGGGGGGGGGGGGGGGGGCGTTCTTGCTACTTGGAGAGTGAACGTACTCGTCGTTGTCGTTGTGTGTTCTGGGGAGAGCTTTTGTCACCTGAGTTGTGTGAGGGGGGGGGGGGGTGTAGCGGGGGTAGCATGCACACACACACACACACATACATAAATGCATTTTGTGTATATGTATTAATATATGTGTATGCATGCGCTGCCAATGCACTGCTTGAGGCGTTTGCAGATCCCGTGCAGCGCGCTGCAAAGGGAGCTCTCGACGAGGGGCTCGTGTAGGCAAGGGGGGTCAATGGGGTCATCTTGGAGCAGCCACTGGTCAAAGATATGCATAGAAAGCCCGAGGTCCCCAAGGGGGGTCTGTAGCTGAGAAGACCTAGGCTCTGCATCCTAGAAGCTACAAACTATCAATCCTGAACCCGTGCTGGTGCACCTGCACCTTAGAATCCTCACCTTTAGAGCATTTTACCTGAGCCTCCTCTACCTCCATTAGGACCCGAACCCGAACCGCAGCCCCAACCCTAGCATGCGCCATGATCCCGATCACCCTCACTATTGCGGCATTCCGGCGCATGTGCCATGAGAATGATTGCCCGCCTGCGGCATTCCCGTGCATGGTGAGAATGATCACTTTCACTGCTACAGCGTTCCTGCGCATGCTTTGTGCTAGTGACCGTGCACCATGACCATGAGCGCCCCAAGCACTGCGCCGTGATGATGGTCACCCTCCCTGCTGCAGCCCGATGGTTGCAGCAGGGCCCAAGGAGGTGCCGCACGGCTTGGCCGCCAAAAGTAATGTTCGACTCCTCTGAACCCATGAGTTCCTGGGTTTCCTGAGTCCTCCGCGTCTTCCCGACACACGCTTTGTCTATTGCCACAGGCCCCGAACCTCCGACCCCGAACCTGTCGCCCTACTCCGATGATAAACTGAAAGAAGTTCTCCTGATTATCAGTTGCCTGAGAAGGCTTCGACATGTCAGTAGGGTCTCGAATCCCCGAGCCCACGCGGCCCGCGCGCCCTCGTGAGAAAGGGGAAGTTAGCCCTCCGCACGAAGTTCGCGGGGCCGCTGTGGAAACCGAAGAAACCTTTGAGAGGAGCGCCTGAAGAGCAAACAGCACTCCCAGTGAGAGGGGCGCGAAGGAAGAAGGGCCGATTTGTTTCGAGACTCTTTGAGTCCAATCAGTTGAGTTTATAGGGCTCTTTGGGTTTCGGTTCTCGGCTCTTGTCGATTTTGTTTTTTGCGGCTTTGGGGTTCTTGTGGCAGGTGTTGCGGGTCCTGCACGACATCGTTTTCCTCCAGCAGGAGCTCAAGGGCCTGCTTCTGACTGGGGGACCATTGGTATCTGCCATGAGCCGGAGGCCGGAGACCCGAATAACCCCCCCACCGCCCCCCCGCAATCTCGTTCAATCCCGAGCGCGAGACCGCTAAGTCCTATGCCCTTTTATGCCCTAACCTCGGAAGCCTCTACCTTAGGATCTACCCGGGACCACTGGATTGAGCTTCCGTACAATCGGCACAGGGGCCCGCTTCACAAGCCTGGTTGCTCGTGGACTTACCACACAAGTCCGGATAAACCCCCTAAACCCTAAACCCTCAGCCCTAGACCCGAACAGCCCTAAACCCTGAGCACTTGGCAAGTGGTGTAGGCAGTTGAGGTGTAGTTTCTTGAAGTCTGCTTTGGGCCATAGGGCTTAGGGCTTAGGTTTTAGGCCATTTTCCTCGGTTGGGTTTACCGAGTTCAGCATGTCAGAACGACCCGAGCGCTGTCATGCAGAGCTGACCTGTACTCTACCCTAAACCCCGAACTCTGACTTGTGAGTGCGCATAACCCTGCCTTTGGCCGCCTGCCGAGGTGTGGCTGACCGCCTGCGAGACTTGCTGCAGTGCTTGCGCCTGAGGGGCCTCAGGCGGGAATTTGGTGTGGGGTGCGTAGTTTGGACATAGGGCCAAGGGTTTATGAATGTTTTTGTGGTTTACTGATTGGGTGTTTCAATATAAGGTTGATACCCGACTACTGAACCCTAAAGCTTCAGAACCCGGACCCGAATTGGACTCTAAGCGCCCTCGGGCTCTGCAAAACATCTGCGGGGCACGCAGTGCTTGGCGGTGTCTCCCCCCAGCGACCTTGTGGCACTCGGAAGCTCAGGGCGTTGTTGATGACTGTGATGAGTGGCATTCGTAGCGCCTTGGTTTTTTGGGATTCAATGGCTAGCATTGGCTTCTTGTGGGTGAAGCGCGGAGTGTATGAATGCTGACCTCGCCCATGCCGTGCTGCAGGCGTACATCGGCGCGTACGCACATGCAGGGCATATACTCCCGGTTGACGGTTGAAAGTCTTGGCAAATGGGCGTGCGCCAGTTTTTGAAGTGTCTCTGCGCAGAGGCTGCACCAACACCATCTGTACTGAAGGCGGACACCTTCAAAGCTCGCCCCTGGCTGCGGGCATGGAGCGAAGATTAGAGGCCGGGTTGCAGGGTCACCCCTAAACGCTTTTGAGCATTGCAATATACAGGCCGATCTACTTAACCCTGGGACACGCTGGGACTCTGGTGTTGCGAGCATGCATCACATTGCTTTTTCTGTGTCTGAACAAGACGTGTGGCATTTTGGGATGAGCAGTTTGCCAAGGCAACTTGCTCATCCGACGACCTGTGAGTCTCGCACCGTGCCACGGCATCTCTCTGCTCTACGATGCTTTGGGGAGAAGCATCTCGATTTTAAGATCGACGGGCTGCGAAGATGCTGAGACACTTGCGCTATTAAACCCTAAACCCTAAACCCTAAACCCTAAACCCTAAACCCTAAACCCTAAACCCTAAACCCTAAACCCTAAACCCTAAACCCTAAACCCTAAACCCTAAACCTAAACCCTAACCCCCAGTTTCTACAATGCGTCCGTAGCCCGAGCTGCCCAGCTAGCTGGCGCCTTGACGCCATGCAGGGAGCTTCCCGGCTGCGAAGCGGCTGATCGCAGAAGACATGTTGGGCCTGGTGGAAGATTCACTCACCAAGCCTTCGGCAGCAGCAGTGGGTGTCCCTGTCGGTCTCAGAATCCTGCTCCATCGGCCCAGCTTGCGAGAGCATACGATGGAGGACCTGAAGATCCTTTGGCGAACTGACAACAATCCCATCGGAACCTTCGTAGAAGCAGAGAAGCAGCTCGATCTGTGCCGTCTACGAGACCGCCAACTCCGAAGTGAAGCCGCAGCTGCACAAGCTTCGCCAAGCCAAATGCGCGACAAAGAGCAGCGTGCTCTGAGGTTCGCAGCGTATTACTGCAGTGCCACTCAGAGTACTGGAGCACAGTACGTAATGTAAAAAAAGTGTCTAAGTCATCTTCTTGCAGTGCGTTTTCGCACTTTCTGAAACTTGGCACCTTTTGGAGGAGAACCGGAGACGCAGGTACCTAAATTCCTAGGAGTCGCATCACCCGTCTTCTTGCAAAGGGGCTTCCTTCACCCAGAGATCTAGATTCCAAACCCTTGGTCTGCCAAAATGGCACCAGACAAAGCACAATCTTGAGCAGAAAAAAGAGCACCAGAAAACTTAATTCAGCACCAGTAGCAAGTACCATGTCTGAGTGCTAACAAAAGGCACTATTGGTTCGCAAGTTCTATGACAAAGTACCATTCATTAGTGAGTACTACTGGGAAGTACTACTGGTACTAGGAAGTACTCTTGGCAAGTAGTTTGGGTCAGCGGCCATGCCGTGAGTTGAAGACCACCACCACCACCTCCACCATCAAGAAGGTTCCAAAACCAGCGAAGAGCGTGTCGGAGTTGTTTGCCTGTGGGTTTGTGATTCGCAGGTGAGTCGCTATGGCCCAAGCATGGCAAGCAGTGAATCTATGAGGTAAGACGAACAGAACATGGATGGATTTGGGGATTCTTTCGTCGTAGCACACACTCTCCACCAACGCTTGTCATGCACTGATCTGCACAACGCTCCCTAAGACCCCGCATGATCCCGCTGCAGGATGATGTTGTGATCTGTTCCATGCCTTCCCGATCCGCATGTTTCTTGTTGTCAAGATGAAGCTGAGCTCCTACGAGGATGCGTTCGCGAGGCCAGGCCTGCGTGCTTATTACCATTGCGTTCCCTCAACCCTGCTCCCAGCAGAAAGCCTTCTTGCAAAGCATCGCAGTATCAGAAACCGCGTCCTTTTGTGCCTGCCTAGGTGGGTGGAGACTTGCCGACGGTTTGATTGTCCCGACGGTGTCGGGGACCAAGGGTTTGTTTACCAGCTTCATGCCAGGCACCCTTGAGACGCTGAGTTTGTGCTTGAGTGAGTTGTCGAACCCTTGGATTGTTGTGACAAGGCCTTCACCTGGGTGGAGGACTTCCAGGCCATTTGGCTTTGGCCACATTTCCTCAAGTTTTCGGGTTTCAGGGCATGGGCATGAGGTTTGTGAGTCTTCGAGGGTGAGAGGGTTTCTTAATGTAACCTAGAGATGGCTTGACTCTGCGCGCAGTACACTTGTTCCTACTGGTTGCCGATTGCGCCTACCAGAGGCTTGGACCACAAGTTTGGTGCAGATTCATTCGTGAGAGCCAGGTGCCTTCTGACCTCGCAGTGGAGGAGACACCTGATCCCCGGCACCTTGGAAGCACGAATAATACTTGTTGTACTCGTTGCTCAGGGGTAAGTGCATGAGCAAGCGTACCGTGCAAAAGTTCACGCCAGAAGCTTGACCTTTTGGATTTCCGTTTTGTTTTGAAGGGAGGGGGATGCGGTCTGCAAACTGCTTCTTTTATCACAGCCTCAACCTCCCGCTCCTACTGAGAAGCGAGTTTTGAGTGCAAGGCTGCTGCCCACGCTAAAACAAAAGAACGGACAACCGAGAGCCACTTTCCAAGCAGGGCGGCTTCACGCATGTTACGAGGTCCCAGCAGCATAAAACGAGAAGAAGGAGGTATGGGTATACACTGGGTGTACAACATGTTCGGCAGGGAGGTGAACACATTTAGTGGAAGACCATTTTCCTTTTTTTTCTCGCCCCGCAAGACAACCATAGAGACCACCAGCCCAAACTAGCATCAGCAGTGACATCAGGATTGCGCAAGGAAGTGCGAGCAAAGGCAGGCACTTCTTCTCATGAGGCTACGGAACAGACATTATGTTGAATAGCGCACATGAAAACAAATAAGGCTTTCCAGCGAGTTGTGGTCTGTGGTTGAGCTTTTTGTTGGACATGAACCCGAAGCTCCTAAACCTGCACGTTAACCAGCACCATGAGTCCAACCTTGATGCACCTTCAAGCGCCTTCAACCCTAAACCCTAAACCCTAAACCCTAAACCCTAAACCCTAAACCCTAACCCAACCTCGACTCCTCTGACCCCTAAATCCCATGGACACCTTGTTTGAGACATGAACCATGACAGCAACCAACTGACTTGTTACTTGTTTTGGCATGTTTGAACTACTTCTGGGCCGAACTTAGCGCTTTTGCGGCTCTTTACTTCTGATGTTATACAGTAATTCCTCATTTCCGTTGTTAACTACATGTCATGCAGCCGATATGCAATGAAAAGTCACTGGACGCCTGGGCGTACCAGACCACCTCCAGACACCACAAGATTATGGGATGCATACTGTATGTACACTCTGGGAATCCAGGAGGCTGTAATCCTGTTTCAATTTGTGTGTTTTCAGCGGTCAGTTGCAGCTTGCGCCGTGTTCTGCGCATTGCTTGCACGCGTTCAATGGTTTTTGCTTGCGTTTTAGGGGTCTGGAGTTACGGCGTTGGTGTTTCACAAACTCGCAAACCCAAAAGCAAAACCCCAACAACGTCCCAGAATCGAAAACCTGAAACCCCAAATTCCTCAACCCATCTCAACCCCCTGCAGCTTAAGCCCAAGATCCATGCAAGAAAACAGACAGAAATCAAGAAAGAGCGATCAGGAGGGAAGCAAGATGCAAAGTGTATCATGCTTGGGAGAAATCAAAAAGCGCTCACCGAGGTTGAAGTGGTTCGCAGCGGCTCGACTGCAATTCGTTATGCCCAATTGAGAAAGGCGTGCCCTTTTTAATATGAAGCAGCCGTACACCCGGGGGAAACTTGTGATATCTTGTGATTAAGGCGTCTCTTTTTGCGCTTACATGGAGATTCAGGGTCCGCTGTATCTGACGTGTTGATGAGTAGTACAAGCTCAGCACTGGAATCTACATTGCCGTGAGCTGGCTGGACTTTCATCGGTTTGTAGTACAAGAGAAGTACTGGAATCGACATTTCCATGAGCCGGCTGGATTTTCATTGATTTGTCATTTGTAGCACAAGCTTCGTACTGGAATCGATGTTTCCGTGTGCTGGCTGGTTTTATTGATTTGTGGTACAAGTTTAGTACTGGAATCGACGTTCCGTCAGCCGGCTGGATTCTCTCTCATTGGTTTGTTGCACACTCTCCGTACTGGAATCGACGTCTCCGTGCTTTTTGGTAGCTTTAAAGAACTCCTGGAACCAGCGTTTCCTTCGGGGAATGTGGGTGGCGCACATGTTTTCATGGTGTTGTATTAGGCCTTTGAGGGGCGGGTTCATTGCAGAATGGCATGTCTTACGTGATTTTTTATCAAACGCATGCCCTTCTGCGGGCGGCGTTTACTTGGGGGAGTGATGCCGCAGGGTCGCCTTCGACAACTTGATGGTCCAACGGCATTCATTGGGGTTTAACACACTTTAACAAGTAGGGCCGCCTTTCCCGGCCTGCTGTTGATTCTTGAAGGTTGTGGCCCTTGCCTTCCTGCTTTGCCTATGGAGGCGTGTGGGAGAATGCCTCAGTTGATGGTTGTGCTGCTACAGACTCGGCCTTGCGTCCATGACCTCAAAGGGTAAGCTCTTCACCAGGTAGTCCCCGCGCGTGTACAGGTAGTTGAGGGCAGAACGTGCAATAAGTTTCAATCCTCAAACCTCTGAGTCCCAAGGCTTCTGAACCCGAAACACAAAACGCCAGGCCCTTTCAAACCCCAAATGACAAGGTGCTTGATGCTTGAGGGGGCGACCCAAGACGTTCTCAATTATCTGATGATGTGAACCATAGCCCCCAGCAAGTTGTGCGAGAGGGGCTCGAGACGATGCTGCGGGCAATCACGCTTTTCAAAGCGGGAAGGTCTTTGAGGTTGCGCTCGGGCTTGGGGAAGTGCCTGCGCTGCTGTCTTGGAAGAGGTAAGGTTCGTAGCAGTCTAGTCATATATAGCAATAGAGGCAACAGTCATAACAAGATCACCCGCAATCCTTTTTCTTCTGGATGCACCTACGCATGTGGCAAATTTTATGGAAGGCACACGCACAGCCGCTCCAGCTCGACAACGACAAGGAGGACTGTGCCACACCCTAAACCCTGAACCTTAAACCTTAAACCCTAAATCCTAAGCCCCCGGACAGGATCAAGCTGTCCAGGCTTAAACCTGAACCTACCAATCCCACCGCGACCAATGGCTCATGTCCCAACCCCATATGCCGGGAAACCTCTGCTACTAGGGACATACGCACATCGGAGGGACCTTGGCTTGGTTTGATTTCCCACATAGAGTACCTGAATTTTACTTGTTGCTTCTACGCAAACAGCATCAAAGCATGAGCCCTGCAGGGCAGTCTTTAGGTCTGTCATGCGCGTGGTCATGTGGCATGTGCATGGGGTCCTTGAAAATGCGAGAGCTTTCCAGACCTGAGTCTGCAATTGGAGGTGAGTAATGTTACTGTATTGAGGATCGAAAGATTGTGCGGCTGTACAAAGGACATTGACAGTGCGGCCGTTCAAAGGAAATTGACATACAGTACCTTGCGTCTTTTACAGTGGGAGTTTTGGATCCAGTGGTCAAAGCATCCAAACTTGTAGCAACCAGGGATATTGCTCGCGCACGATTATGCCGTCCAGCGCCAGCAGGTCCCTTGGGTCCATGCCATCTGACTATGCCGGATGCTGAGCGTGTGCTTGGGGTACGACAGAGATGGGCTGCACTGGAAAGGGAGACTTGCAAGCCCCGGCTTGATAGTTGCAAGCAGTGGATCATGGCACCACCTAGCAGTGCGAGAGAATGTCGGTTGACGTGTTTGCGCTGCTTCCCCAAACCTTCTGACGTCTCAATGTCTCGTCCTCGGCTCGTCCTGTCCATAGGTCTCATTGACTTCGTTTCTTTGCGCTCTGTCACCCACAAAACGCTATGCGGGGAGGTGGGGCTAAGATTTCAAGGTTAGTTGAGCAAAGGTGGTACTGGCTTCTCTCGGAAAATTCTCGGAGCCCACAAATTCAGTAGCGCTGTGCGAAACGAAGGCCCTAGGTCTAGAAGTCGCCTACGATATTGAAGTCAAGCACCTGTAAACCTTGGAGCCAAAGACCGAGGACGAGGACCCGGACAACCAAGTCGTGGACGCGGCGGTGGCCGCCATGGGACATGTCACCAGGTTCCTGTACCAGCAGTTGTATTTGGAATTGGGTGCGGCAGAGAACATATCACAGTTTGCGGAGGACCGAGGCCTAAACCCTGATGTTTTCGAGCGGGCTGTCGTGGAGTTCTCCGAAGCGCAGAGATGGCGTCTCTTCCCGGGGCGCTGGATGACAGCGCTTATCACCTCCTTGCTACCTCGACCTGTTCCAGAACCAGAATCCCCTCCGCTTTTCGTGAGCATTGGTGCTAATCGCCGGGCTCGCGGGACCTGGGAGCCCTGGGAGTCATGAGCCAGGCACGCAAAGTTCGAAGCACAAATTCTTGGTGTTTGCATGTGTCGACCCTGCAGTCTGCTCCAGTTAGGTAAGCCCACGGTTTTATGGGTGTCTGCTTGTTTGTGTGGCCTATTACAATGGATAGCGTATGACAGACTCGGTGCACGCATGCTGTGGTGCGGTATACGCATCATGCATACCAGCATGAAAAATTCAAGGCTAATGCCAGACTTCATCGTCATGATGCCGTCGGAAAGAAAGAGGCTAACTTTCGGAATTGTTTCTGAAAGTGTTTTGATAAAAGGCGGCAAGCTTGCACAAGCATTCGGAGGTTGATACAAAGGTCTCGCGCAAAGCATGTCTAGATTGCAGTAGCGGCCGGGCCACACATGGAGGTAGGAAGGTCAAGCTTCGAGCGCGACATTGTGAGGATGTGCAAAAGGAGCAAAAGCTCGCCCGTGTACATTTGCTCAAGCCGGACACAGCGTGCAGTAGTTTCCTGGCACAGCGTGCAGTAGTTTCCTGGCAACCTTGTCGCGCTGCGTGTCAATGGTCCATGCGCCGCGTTGGCCCGGGCTGCAGCCACTTGTGCCCGGGCTGCAGCCACGTCGGCCTGGGCTGCAACCACGTTGCCCCGGGCTTCAGCCAAGTTGTCCCGGGCTGCAACCACGTTGGCCTTTGCAGACATGTTCTGGCAAGTGGCTTGACTGGGGTGGTTTGCAGTACCTGGTGCGCGCATGCATGTTGTCAGATGTACACAGGCTCCATGTCATTAGTGTTGTTGCATGCAACCCCCAAACTCAGAAAAGATCCGAGGCAAGCAGTATGTCCTGCTGAGCGAAGCAGCGCATCTGCCTGTCCGGCTGGTTCACAGTCTCCGAAGGACAGCGAGTCACATTTATCCAGCTGCTCCACCGGCTGGAATTTTGATGACTCCTTGGAAGTTTCCTCGGTTTCTGATTCTGGGCATCAGTCACGTGAGCATCTTCACCTGGCAGGGTGCTGACCCCAGATATGCAATGACCACATCTATGTCAATGTGCGAATGCTGGATGCATGCGCAAGTCTTGGGCATTGCAAGCTTTTGAAAGAGAAATCCTGTGTTATAGCCTAAGGATGACGTCTTTGTGCAAAATGCGGCTGGGACCCCAGCCACGCTTCCTTGGTGTGGTTTCAATATTGCCCACGGTGCGTGCTTTGGCTCAGGCTCTTGCCTGCGGTGATGTGTCAGTATTTGGAAGCAGCTTGACAGCAGAGCAGGGCCGCACATGTCGAAGCAATCGTCAAAAGCCAGCTTCTGGCCGCGCTGAGCCTTGATGCGTTGATGTGGATTGGGGCCGGGGGTGTGCAGGTCAAAAGCATTCTCCGACTCCGTGCTACCCATAGCACGGCCAACAACAAGCAGGTGCAGTTGATGTGCATGTTGAAGGCTGTCTCTGTGTCGGCACTGCTTCTTGCAGGGCTTCATGGAGCATTTTGCAGAGCAGGCTTTCAAGGGGAGCAGGACAGCTGCGCACATGTGTTGAACCAAGTACTGTTGATGCTATATGTACCAAAAATACTGTGGGTAATGTACATGTAATAGACATATTTTCCTAATTTATTCCATATGCAATCTTTCTATAATTACTTCCTCTAGCCCCCAACAGCAGGTATGCTGACACCCTCAAATCTGCCAAACATAAGAACGGTGCATGGGATCTAGCCCGGCACTAGAAAAATACTAGTTCGACCACCGCCGTGTCATGTATTTTCAAGCGCCCCAATTCATTAATTGGTCCTCACGTGGTGGGGGAGTCAGTGCTTTTTGTTTGGGAAAGAATTAGGTCGTCAAATAGACGTCAAGCGCCCAAGGCATGTGGTCCCTCCCCTCCTCCCTTTGTAGCGGTTCCTGCTCCATTGACTATCCAACACGCCCGGATACTAGATGATGATGCAATGATGCACCCAGCTGCTTCTCATTGCAATGTGCCAGTCGTTTCATGTACAGAGATGCGCCCTTCTTTTTGCGACGCTGTTTTGCTCGAAGAACAGGTTGTCATGAGGGTAGGTGGTTTGAACCAACAAGCCCACAGAAGCGTTCACCAAGTAGAAGTGAGCTGACAATGTTTGCCTTCTCATGGCGCGCAGGAGCTTGCAACACTTTCTCCGCGTCACCAACCTTCGGAGTTATGTGAGCCGCGACTTGTCCGTGCGGAAAGCATGGCAAAGCTTCCCGGCTTGTTATCGTGCTTTTGTCACTGCCAGCTTCCGACTTTGCAAATCTTTTTCTGCCTTTGTGGATTCTTCGGGGTGCGCAGAGCCAGACTCAAACTCCAGTCTCGATCGTAATCTAACCGCTAACGCGAAGCCGCCTCGGCAAGGGTACCGAGGCGAATTGAGGGTTAGGGGGTGCCGCAAGATAGGCGGGGGGGGCGGAGGGGTGGGGGCGGGGGGGGGAGTCCGATGGTCCCGGCACGTCGTCCGCATCTGGAAACTGGTCGGCTAGGGGGGTGCCTGTGTTCCGCGCTAAAACAAGCTCGCCCACGCAGTTCCCTAGGCCTGGATCTTAAAGGCCTCTCCGCGGCGGACTAGTGACTAGTGCAGATCACCTTAACCAGATCTCGGCCTGCGCCTGCCAAGACATGAAATCTTATCCACAAACCCAGAAAGGTGGTGAGAGGCTCTTGACTGTTGACCTTCAGGTGTGCTGTGCCTGGGCTCCCACAATGCTTCTACCAGCATCATTCAGCTGGCGAAGTCCACAACGCGGCGCGATACCTGGATCCTCTCGCAGCTGGCATGCTTCGGCTGCGCGGAGTTGAAAGGTGTTTTGGCCAAGCAGCTCTACAACATTGGCGAAGCTCTTGTGGAGAGGCCTTCCAAGTTCAAGGAGTTTGTCGAGGAGTTGCTCTCCTGTTGCAGAATGTTCGACGCACCGTGGACAATGCTTCTACGGCAGATGTTGCACCCGCACACCCGTTCATCAAACATTGAAGAGGTCTTGCGGAACTTAAAGCAGTTGTGTGATGCCAGCCACAATCCGGCGCAAGACTACCCCATTTTTGTGCCAGTGATCCGCTACTACTTGCTTTTGGGGCTGAAGGACCCACCACAGGCTTGGGGCCTGGAGCTCTATGTCCATCATCTTTGGTCACTATGTACGGGGATGCCGACGTTGCAAGTGCAGGTGCAAGTTCTGTGGTGGAAGCTGGCAGGTGGCCTATCTCGGCTTTGAAAGTTCGAAGGGAATGCCGGCCCCGAGCTGACTACGCTTGACTGAGTGGAAACTAGGGACTCCCATGCACATCGCGGGCTCCTGCTGCTTGTCGAAATTATGGATCACAGATTTAGGGGGTGTCAGAATAATGGGCTGGACAAAGCAGATCAGGACAGCATCTGCTCAAGGATTGTGGAATTGCAGTTTTGATTCCTGGATGCATCCCAGCAAAATCAGGGTGAGGGTTACATCACAGTGTCCACGGCGGCAGCCTCTACATCAAAGTGTTCTCGCCTTTGCCTTCCTCGTGCTTGGAGAGTGGCCAGTAGGTTTAGGCGGGGAGCTCTTCGAAACGTAGATAGCGTGACGTGGTGTGCAAACTGGGAGCTTGTCGCCCACATGAAAGTGTCCATTGCCGCCCACCTGACTTCTTTCCCTACCCAAATTCAAGACCCTATGCCCTAGTAGTTCTGAAATCGCAAATCCAGGCTGGTTTGTGGCTCCTGGACTCGGGGAGTGTGACGTGGCTGCACTCCGTATTGGACGGCGTCAAAGGAAATGTCGTATGATTACGATATCATATCATTCTCGATATTGCTGCTGCTATTGTTATTTATTGTTGTTACGCCTGTTACGCATGACCGCTGCGGCTGTGGTCGTTGTTTCTTTGTTGCTATTCTCATGGGCATCATTATGAGCATCACGATTTCGAGGTTTGTCAAGTATGCTGGTATTGGTTCGGCTTTTGCCGGCTCATCACCACTACTAGCAGTACTGGCATTCTCACGCCCCAGAGACTGCTTCAGACGGCTGAGGCTGAAGCATCTTCAGCTGCGAACCAGCTGGAGGCGTTTGTCCTCTAGCTTTGGCAATCAAGGCTCGTTAGACAGCCAAGCCGTGTGCATCACATTGCTTTTTCTGTGTCTGAACATGACGTGTGCGATTTTGGGATGAGCAGTTTGCCAAGGCAACTTGCTCATCCGAACCTGTGAGTCTCGCACCGTGCCACGGGATCTCTCCGTTCTACGATGCTTTGGACAGATGTTTTGGAGAGAAGCATCTCGATTTTCATATCGACAGGCTGCAAAGATGCTGCAACACTTGCGCCTTCCCCTGCACGGCTAATCGCAGAAGACATGTTGGGCCTGATGGAAGATTTGCTCTCGGAGTCGATCGACATTGGCACCCAGACCGTGGCGAAGGTGGTGATGTGCATCAACCATTGCAAACTGAATCGGTGCTCGCTTACCAAGCTTCAGCAGCAGTGGATGTCCCCGTCGGTCAGAATCCTGCTAAGTCGGCCCAGCTTGCGAGAGCGTACGATGGAAGGACCTGCAGATCCTTTGGCGAACTGACAACAATCCCGGCCGAACCTTCGCAGAAGCAGAGAAGCAGCTCGATCCTGGCCTACGAGACCTTCAACTCCGAAGTGAAGCCGCAGCTGCACGAGCTTCGCCGAGCCAAATGCGCGACAAAGAGCAGCGGGCTCTGAGGTTCGCAGGGCATTAGTGCCATTCAGACTACTGGAGCACAATACGTAGTGTGAAAAAACATATCTAGTTCGAATTCTCGCAATGCGTTTCGCACTTTCCGAAACTTGGCACTTTTTCAGAGGAGAATCGGAGACGTAGGTACCTAAAATTCCTCGGAGTCGTAACACCCGTCTTCTTGCTAGAGATCTAAACTGCCAAAACGGGCTGCTTTGGCGCACTTGAAAGTCCTCGGCCCCTCTCCACGCATTGCGCGGATAGCTGTAGCTGCTCCCGACCCCAAAAATGATCGAGGGTTGATGGGTTTGCGTTGCCCTTCTACCGTACACCTCGAAACCCACCCAAGAGCTTGCACCCTGAACCCTGGACGCCTGGACCCCTTCTCCTTCGGCTTCTCGGTGTAACAGGGACGATGATGACGACTTACCTCGACAAGCCCCCCGTAGCTCCCTCCCCCACAGGACACCGGTAGGGCCGGCAGTATTAACCCCGCCCCCCCCCACCCCCCCCCACAAAAAACACACACACACACACACACACATCAACGACCATACAAATCAATCCCAATCCCTAAAGCCTAAAGCCTAGCATTCCGCGTCCACGGGGCTCAAGTGCAGGGCAAAGTTTCGGGTTTGAAGTCCCTGCTTTGGATTTTAGGGTGTTCTAGGGCTTTGAGTTTAGGATTTCGGGTTTAGGGTTTTGAGGTTGAGATCATCTCACAGAATCTCCGGAATGTGCTCAAACTAAACCCGTGCGATGTGCAAGCCTATAATTAGTTTAGCTCACATCTGTCCCTTTCAGAACCCCCTAGAAGTCCGGGCCTCTTCCCATGGCCGGAGGGGAGGACGCATGGTGCTAAGCCGTGTTTCGCACGGATGCACTTGAACCTGCACGTGCCTCCACGATTCAGTCGCACAGGCTGTTATGGCATGAGTCGCATGAGCAGCTCAATGTTCTGAGTTGGGAGGCTCGAGATGGACGCCACATGGATCTAGCTCTTCTGCTCGAAGCGTTTAGCCTTTGCTCGTGTCCCCGGTCTCAACACCAGCTGTCAACATTGGTCGTCATCCTTTTTTTTTGGCTTGCATGTAAATCGTATCATCTGATCGCTGGCTTCTGCAATTCCGCAATCAAACCGAAGCCTTCAAAAGCTCTCGCCAGACCCCGGGGTTCCGTGGGCAAAACGTCTCGAGGGCCCTTGGAACAGGCCTACTTTGGGGCTCGGAATACTTGCTAACAGTGTTCCCTTATGGTCCTATCTAGCTGTACTTTCAGAACGCCCCAAACCCTATTCTAATCATGAAGGGCCCCCTGTAGTAAAATTGCGGGTTCCTCTCAGGTCCAAATGTCCACCGAGCCACCTGGGCTCGAGACCATGCCATGCCCTGAGATTGAGACGGGGGCCGAAAATCGGGGGAAGCGGGCCGACCCCTGAAGCCTGACTCTGCAGCCCCTGGAACTTAGCGGGGGTGTGTTTTTTAGGCGTTGGAAAGCCTGTGTGCTCCGAATGCAACTTTGCAGCCCTTTCGGCCCTGGAATCCTGAACCCCGGAAGCCTGGAACTCCGAAGGGGCCTTCCTGACGGGGGTTTAAGATCGGCCTGCAACACTTCTGGCACAGCCGACGGTTGTCCTGAGATTTATGTTTGGGTTTGGGGCAGCTTAGGGTTCAGGCTTTTCGTGCGTTTGTTGTGAAGAGCCCCAGAAGGTGGCCCTAACTGGTCGCCTCCAACCCTAAGCCCTAAACCCTAAACCCTTGTCAAAACCCTAAACCCTATAAACCCTAAGCCCTAAACCCTCGAACCTGAAGCAAGAGACGATCAGCCTCCGGCAGGGCAGACGCCGAGAGGGAAGCTGCAACCGAGGCCTGCTGCAGGGCTCATCGATGTTTACCGGCTAAAGTTTGTGGGTTTAGGGTTCAGGGTTCTGGATTTAGGGTTTAGGATTTAAAGTTTATCGGTTCAGGGTTCAGGGTTTAGGGTTCAGGATTTGGGGTTTAGGGTTTTTTTTCGGCTTCTGTGCAGACTGTTTTTCGTTGCTTCATTTTTACAAGTGCGCCTTGGGCGGCCCAAACCTCGGGGAGTTTCTAAGCCCAAAGCATGCCCCTGAACCCCACAGGCCACAGAATTCCAGACTTGGCAAGGCGTCAGATGCTGATGCCCCCACCGAGGGCGCTGATGCCCCCGCCGAGGGCGCTGCCCCAGCCCAGGGCGAGCAGGAGAGCCTTGATGCTTGTGGCATGCAGTGAAGCGTTCAAGAAGATTCGCACTTGTTGCATCGGGGAATAGTCGAAAATGGTACTGCATATGAATCGTTAAAGCTTTCGCCGTCGTAATCGAAGCGAGCACAACGCAGATGAGATCCCGATGTCCAGACCCTACGGTCGGGCGCTGTTTAGTGTGTGCTCCCCCCGTCCAGAACAGTCGAAGCCAGTTTTCGCCCTGTTTAAACGGTCCTGGGGTTTTACTTCGTCTAGGCAGCTTCGCCATCATCTGCCTTTCAGTGGTGACCGGAAACAAGCAAGCAACACAGGACGAGGGCCCCTCCAGCGAGGAACGTCCCGAGCCAAGTCGATATCTGGTCATTGTAGGCAGCAAGAAGATTTCCTCGCTCTCTTTGTCCTATAGTTGGCCATGTCGGATGGCGGTTAGACCTTGGGGTCCTCGACCCTCGACCCCTTCCCGGACTGTCCTTCAACCCACTCGTGGCTCAGGAAGAAGCGGCGAAAGAAGCCGGGAACATGCTGCTCCAGGAAGCCAAGCGTGTTGTGACGAAAGCCTTCAGCCTACCCAAGCCACGTTCCCAGCCCAAAACGTGTTCTTTTTCTTACAAGAAATTACGACTTGGGCAGGTAGGCCTCTTTGGGCCTAGAGGGCTGGGTCATAAGGCTTGGAGCAGTTGGTCGCCAGCTCGTAGATGTAGTCCCAGGGAATCCCGTGTTCCTTCATTTTCCCGGGAATGCACCATAAAGTATGTATATCATATATATAATATATATATATATATAATATAATATATATATATAATATTATATATATATATAATATATATATAATTATATATATATATATATATATATATATATATAATGGGTGGGGGGTGGAGTGGGGTGGGGTTGGTGGGGTGGGGGGGGGGGTGGGGGGGGGGGGTGGGGGGGGGTGGGGGGGGGGTGGCGGGGGGGGGTGGGGGGGGGGGGGGGGGGTGGGGGGGGGGTGGGGGGGGGGTGGGGGGGGGTGGGGGGGGGGGGGGGGGTGGGGGGGGTGGGGGGGGGGGGGGTGGGGGGTGGGGGTGGGGGGGGGGGGTGGGGGCATGCACTGAGGCTAAAACAATGCAAAAACACTCCAATTCAAGGCGTCATGAGCATACCGGGTGGGGCGGTGAGGGTGGTGAGGGCAGTGAGGGCGGTGGGGGCGGCGGGGGTTTGGGCATGCACTGGAGCCCTGAAAGCAATGCAAACACTCCAATTCAAGGCGTCATGAGCAGCATGCGTGAGAGCGGGTGGGGGCGGTGAGGGCGGTGAGGGCGGTGAGGGCGGTGGGGGGTCTTCACTGACGCCGCCCTGCTACCGCTGGGGGTCGGCGGATATATACATATATATATATATATATATACATAATATATATATGTGCATGCCGTTGTAGACATATAGATGGGGATGCTCGCCACCAGCTGCGGGGTGTCTTCTGGGGGGCAGGCGGGCGATTTCGCTGGAGCAGCCGCCAAGCATCTCGGATTGGTTTAGAGAGAGACTACTACTTGCTTAGGAACCCTAAAAGAATAAACGATCATAATCCCTATGCTACTACCCTCAATAAGGAAGAATATTTTCATTTTTTCGGGGTTCTTACGCAAGTAGTAGGAGAGAAGCCACCCAACACCAAATTCAAGAACTCCTTGGGGCGGGAGTTGTTCAGGATAAAACGCTAAACCCCTAGGGTGATAACCCAGGTGGGGCATCCTGAACATCTAGATTGCGAAAGCAAAAGCGTGACCCCAAACGCGCCTGCTGCTTTTTCAGGTTTATGGCTGGGGGTTTAGGAGCCCTAAACCCCAAACTCTAGACCGATGTCCTAGGGACTTTGATGCTAAAGTGCCTAGACTCCTTTGTTCCTAGGGACCCTAAAGCCCTTCAGCCCTCAACCCCAAACCCCACACCCGAACCACCTGAAGCCAAAATGGTCAGGTATGGACTCATTTGGATGCTGCAGGTGCGGCAGGTCGGGTCCTGCGCTTTTAGTTGTTGTTTGGCAGGGGCGGGGCTTAAAATTTGGGCTTCGGTGTTTAGGGTTTAGGGTTGATGTTGACTTTGTGTAGGGGCTTCTTTTAAGGGTTAATGTGAGACTCCATCCATGTGAGACTCCTTCCGGCCCTGAAATCGAAACCATTCCAGGTCATGATGCCCATTGCAAAGCCGCCAGAAGTGGCGAATTTCAAGAGATGGATATGCGGGGCTCCTCAGACTTTAACCCTAATTCCCAGACCCTAAACCCTAAATCTGTGGGCCCTTAATCTGGGCCACTTGTCATGCAAATGTAACCCTTACACACTGCACATAGCAATGGCCCATACTTCGGAACCCTTGAAACAAGGGCAAGGGACGATACTAAGGGCCCGCAGTTTCACCTCAGGCTAAACCCTGAACCCTAAACCCTAAACCCGCGATTTCAGGTTCCAAAGAAGAACCTAAACCCTAAACCCTGTACCCTGTACCCTGAACCCTTCGTCTCATCCTCGGTTCGGGTTTGTTCCTGAAGTCTTCTTGCCATTGCTGCATAGGCCCGGGCGGGTCTGTTTCACATGCCATTACTTGCGCCCGCGCGAGAGAATGCGCAGCAGCCTGCGTGTGTGTGTGTCTGTGGCGTCGGCT